TGGCGAGTGCTACTCTTCTAGTGTGATCTTGTTCTATTGTCCTTTGTTGCCTATATAGTGTTTCGTTCAATGTCAACAAAATTATTCCATGATTCAAGCGCCCTGATATTCAACGCTTCTACAAATCCTAGTTTCTATTATTCCATCAACCTGTCTTTTATTATTCTATTATTCTACTATTCCAATGGTTCACTAGTCCTTCGGTCGATTATTCAATGTTCTACTGTCATTTGTATTCAAGTATTCTATTATTGTTCTAGCATTCGAAATATTCCGATATTCATGATGTTCGTTCCTATTGTTCTCTGTTGTATTATTCCTCGCGCCCTGCTGCACGGCTCTGCCTTCTGTCCGTCACAGTCGTCTCGCTTCCAAATGCCTGCCCCATCGCGCCAGGTCCTGCCGAAAGAGTGCTAAGGTTCAGGGTTTAGGCTTAATTTAAAGGGACTTTGGGATTAATTCGTCGCTCCCTCTCACACGGAGGGCAAGGCTTCGAGGCAATCCAGGGGATTATTGGATTTGTGTTTGGGCCAGCGACTTTTTACGGCTTCCGGGCTGAGGTGCCCATAATGGAACAAAGCGCAACTTCAACCCTGGGCATCTCAGCGAAAGCTGCAGAATCGAAAGCTATCCTAGGAACATGAAACTCGCACTAAACCGTAAAACCCTAAACCCTAAACCCTAGGATCCTTTCCGTGTTCGACAAGCAAGGCCACAAGGGATGTGGGTGCTGTCCCAAGGCCCAAGGCTCCGCCCCCTACCTTTCAACCCGGCTCCGAAGATAGATATGCATATCTATGCAAAAATATGTGTATATATACACATATGTATATATATATATGTATATTTTTTCAAGGTGTACAATGAATAAATATAATCTAATCTAATCTAGTATAATATAATATAATATGGTATCATATAATATAACATTTTAATATTTATATATATGTATATATATATATATATGTATGCATATATAGACATATATATATATGTATGTAAAGATACAGCTAATATAACACATCATAAGACATGTGTTTTGCCCTATTGATCGGCCAAGTGGCCGCCCTCGCAGCTCGGGGCGGCCGCAGCGCAGGGGGGCTCAGAGCCAGTAGCTAAACGCGAATTCTAGGGGTTTAGGGTTTAGGTTTAGGGTTTAGGGTTTAGGGTTTAGGGTTTAGGGTTTAGGGTTTAGGGTTTCGACTCTCACACTCGCACAAGGTTTAGGGTTAGGGTTTAGGGCTGAAGGGACAAGGGGTTGGGTTTTGGGGGCTTAGGGTTCAGGGATCAGGATTGCATCGCTCTCGCTCGGACAAGTCAGGCGAGTTGATCAGGCTCGCCAACTTCTGGTGGCTTGGAGCTTCGGGGTTGTAACTTTGTGCTTGGATGCGGAGAGATCTTGAAGAGAAGCCTCCACATGCAGAGGTCGGATCTCTGAGTTCAAAACCCCGAGCCAGGGTCAATCTCACACGGTCAGGCACGCCCGCGCACAGAGACACACACACACACACACACACACAGACAGACAGACTAAGACACGTACACACACACACACACACACACCAACTGCTCCCGAAAGAACACTAAGGTCGCCAGTATCACGAATCTTTTTCGGCAGGTCAGCTATCCGCTCAGGGAAGTACCTGGCATGCCATCTCAGTTCATGACACCGCGCGGGCATTTGCCGACGAGCCTTCCTATCGAAGCCCTCGAATAACAGGTAACTGTGGTTTTTGGAAGCCCCAGGTAGGTGATACCATGACAAGACACGACGACCTCGTTCGTCGGAGAACTTCGGCAACTGGACAGTGTCAACAAAAAAACACACACACAAAACCTGGAAAGTTCAGCAAGCAACAGAAGAAATGGGATTAAAGAAACCACACAGAAACCCAAGATCACGTATGAGTTGCAACTCATGGGTCAACATTCTGCCACGGGCATGGAGCTCCCATGGGCATGCAGCTGAGGGGAGGAAGCTAGGCAAGACCTTGCAATTGACATGCCTTCCCATTTAAAACCGGGGGCCTTTTTTCATACGATCATACACTTTTCTCTGGAGACCAGGTCGAAAAACACGAAACCACCCAAAAAACGTCAATGTGGCACCCGGGTATTCCGCCGCCGCTGTGCCAGTCGGAAGGTCACCAACCTGAGGCGATGTCCACTGAATTTAGGCCTGGACTTATGCATCACTCTGGCCGCATTGCATTGGAGGCTTGTCTGCGATCAGGGGTACTTGATAAACACGGCTTTTTTGCTGGCCTCAGTCGAACCTGAAAATATTCGAAGGCAGGGTCGAGCCATCAGCAACGGGGCCCAGGCAAGGAAGCTCGTAGCACCGCCTGAATGGACACAACCTGAGGCCAGGGTTCAGGGTTGTCACATTGCCATTTTTTCCAAAAGGTGATGACTTTGCGAGACATTGGTGAAAGCATCTGCTTCAGAAAAGGATGGAAAAGAACGGACTGGGAAGGAGCCCCCGACTCCCAGCACAGCCGTCACACATCGTCTCACTTAGCCGGCCAGCAAGGCCATAAAACGCAAAGCACTGTAACGGGATCATCGGGAGGTCGTAGCTGGGCTCGCGGCTAGAAACTCCTGGCATGCGGGGTTCCCAAACTTACTGAATCTCGCGGCCTATGCTCGCCCCTAAAAGGGCGTTTACGAGAACAGCGGACCCTAAAACAGACCTCCAAACAGTAGGATCCCCTTTAATCAGAACCCCAATAAGGTACCCCCCAATGTCGTAAACCCCCGACAACATGACGGAAGCGCCGCGCTAGCAGAGCGACCACGTCCCTTGTGGCCAACACCTCTGCCGAAAGGTCCCTTACTTGGAGGTTCATATGGGTAGTTACAGGTGGGGTCACATGTACCCTAAGTAAGGGTACAAGTACAGATACCCTGCTCATAACCCCACTTATAGCTACCCATGAACCTCCAACTGTAGATAGAGAGCAAAGGAAGAGATAAAGCAAACCAGCACACAGGCAAACCCAGAGGCCTGGGAAATAACTGTCGGCAGCAGCTTCTCCCGTACAGAGGCAAACGTGCAGACCATGCTCTACCCTCATCTACTATTTGCTTAAGAACCCCAAAAGAATATATGAAATAATGATCCCTATATTACCCTTCATAAGGAAGAATATTTTTCATTTTTCGGGGTTCTTAAGCAATTAGTAGTTATCTACACCCCATCCATGACACTGACGCTGCTTGAAACCCACTCCTGGGTGCGACTCTTGCAGGACCTTTGTCTGAGTGTCATGCGACTTGCCGCGGGGAAGCCACTGTCCTCTGCAGGCACAGTGAAACGGATCCCCGTGTCTCTCTGTGGCTACTTGCGTTGCAGGCGTCTTCACGGCGTAGGAGAGGGATCACACCTCTCCATCCAGCATTCTGGCGAGCTGTGATACCTTCCTCACTGGTTTTCGGGATTCGCCTGTCTGGCAGCCGCAAGATGCCCAAGCACCAAGGCCCTTCTAAGGTCCTCTGGGGTCAGGTGAGAGGCGGAGGCATCACCACCTGCAAAAAACAAACACCGAGACTTGCAAAGTGGGGAGGGCTCACTTCGAGGAGACTTGGATTGCTCGACTCGATCCAAAGATGAGCCTGTTGGTGCACCTGCTTACAAGGCAGAACTCTCCTAGAATCGGTCACTGGGCTCCCTACTAAGGGAAGCACTCATCGCCTCAGGCAAACCCACGGCTTCCCATGGAAACTTGCACCGGCATATCTTCACAATGCACTCGGGCCCAATATGAAACAGCTCCTGGATCAAATCTGATAGCACCTACCAAGTTGTTTGCCTACAAGCCACGGAGATCTGTTAGGAGTTCATGGCCTACCTGGCAGCATTGCCGACAGCTATACAGCAAGCTACAGCAGAGAGCACAGGTACGTGAAGGACAACTTCGGCCCCGCTCACACACATGCATGTTCTGTAGTCACTGTCACAAGCTTAGGCCTAAACCCTAAACCCTAAACTCTAAACCCTAAACCCTAAACCCTAAGCGCTTTTACGACACTTTCCAAAATCCTAGCCCTGAGCTCCGCGCGGAATCGAGCGGTGCCACCACCGCAACCAAGTCTGCCAGACCTGGGCAGCTGACACATCCGTCCTGCCATAATTTCAAGGGCATTCAGGAGCCGGGTAACTTTTGACATCTTTTGACCTATGTTGCAGGGTTGAGTGCATACTCAAAGACCCAGGAGCGCTGGCAGCAGCTCTAATGCCGAGCCCGGGGCACACCAGCGCAAAGAGCAGAGCGGGACAAACCACCTTCATGACTACATGGGCATGAATGGCGCAACCCACGGACCTCACTTCTTGAAGTTGATTCCTTAAGCCCTAAAGCATCGTAAAGCACCCTGCAAACACTGGGTTCCGTGCCTAAAGTTCAGGAGTCCACGGCTGGAAGGGGAGGAGGGGTTGGGGGGGGGGGGAGAAAACTGATAGCCGGCTAAGGCTGAAGTTGCTTGCTCGGGAAGCATCAGGGGTTCGGCCTTGTACGGCCACCCCACTTTCGGCTCGTGCGGACGTTAGCATGCGATGAATACAAGGCAATGCATGCGTGTGAAAACTTCCAGTGCGCTTATCTCGCCTCCGGCGAGATAACAAAGCCTAGCTCTGCTAAATCCAGCAGCTTGCAGAAACCCAGCTGCATGGCATGGGTCGGAACAGGCTGCGGAGGTGGGATCCTTGTGTTTTGGAAGGCAGGTGTTCCACCTCCAAGTGCGCATGAGAATCAGGCAGCTCACGCAAAACTGAACTGCAATCACCTAAGTCCAACCCAACTCGACCGGCTCCCAAATAAGGGTGCCCCTTGTACACTTCCAAAGTACTTCCACAAGCCTTCTCTCATCCTCAATATTTATTATAAACGTGCCAATGAAGTGCACCCGAATCTTTGGAAACCTTCACGTGGGCGCCAACCCCGAGGAGCTCCGGAGTCCCTGCATCGCTTCGGCACCTGTGGCCTCAATCCGCTCCTGTCTCACTCATGCCCGATCTCCTCTTCGATTTCCTGCAGTGCTTCCACCATGTACCAGCCCTTTTATCTTCTTTTTTCCTAGACACATCCCCCTTAGACTAACAGTGCTTCATAAGCATTGTGATAGGGGGGTGTGCTATAATCCCTATTGAGGACTGTCAGTATAAGGGGGGAAGATCCCAACCTAAGCCCTTATCGCACGACAAAGGTCACAAAACGCATCCTGGTATTTTTTTTTGAACAACAGCGCAGGCTTTCATGAAGTCGACTACATGCATGGCATACACGACCTGAAAGCCAGGATCCATGTTCATGGCTCCGGACTAGAATGGCGGGTTGGCGGGTTGTGGGCGCATTGCAGACTGCAAGCCCTGCCGGCCTCGATTCGCCGCCTGACCACAGGCATGCACATTCTGCGCACTTGTGATCCGAGCAGGGCTTGACCTACACAGGATCTGCAAGCGAGTTGCTGCAAGGCAATGATCTGCTGATGGACAGATGTCTTCTCGCCCTTGAGCGAGGTAACCTGCATCGAGTGAATGCTCCACCCCCTGGTTTGCCCTAAAGGCTGCTTGCCAGGCCTGCATCTGGAGGCGGACGTTCTCAGCCTCCTGCAGCTTCTGCTGTACTTTGAACCTTGGTGGCTTGGGCAGGGCCGCCAAGAATAATTTTGCCAACGCTTTCTGCCGGCCAGTCGCTCTTCCACCATCCTCTGCACGTCCGCTGCAAAGTACCGCTTGATGTCCTCAGCTAGCTCTGGAGTGAACCCAGAAAGGGCCCTCGCCTGTGCACTTGCGAAACGATTTGTGCCAAGAATCATTGAGCTGCCCCTGCATGCCCGAAGATGAGTTGGCGTTCCCGGCCTTGATACTGTGCACGTGACCTGCCCAGCGCTGCCATCAGCAAGTGTAGGCTCCCGGTCATGATGAGTCATGATGCAGCAAGTCGTGCAGTCCTTTCTCAATGCTCAGCTCCTCATTCTGAGATTGAAGAGTGGTGGCCAGGTCATGCACCTGTCCAGGGACATGACATAAGCATGACTCCTAGTAGAGAACACGAGCTTGCGGCAGCTACAGAGCTGAAGTTCTTCGAGCCTTTCCCTTCATGCCCGTGGGCTTTCGCGAGTTGCTGCTCATCACGGAGTCACCCCTGGGCAGCCATGGCATGAGTCCCTCTCCCTGATCAATCGACTGCTTGCAACCCAGTCTCATAGCCGCCATGACGAAGCAAGGACTGCCGATCTCTGAGGAAAAGGAGGAGCAGCAGCGAGCTTTGGGCCAAACATATAGAATACAGACAAAGCCAGTGTGGAATCATTGCTGCGGCTCTCTCTGCAGCTGCAGTGGTAGATCCCACACAACATCGCGAAAGGGCCCGAACAGACGAATTCTTAAAGCCCTGAGCAGCCCGCCTCGCCCCAGGCTCCCCACAGCAGCATGGACCTCTCAGTTCGAGATGTTTGTGGACGGTGTGTTTCGCAGCATGGGGCGGTGCGATTCCGGAAGTGACCACGAACATCGTTGCGCAAATGGCCGGGCCAAACTTACATGCCGACATGCGACTTCAAGAATCTGGTGGCTGCTTTTCAGGGTGCTGAGGGTGCTGGCATGTTTCAGTATGGCAGGCATTTCTTGGGGGTCGGCCAATAGGCAATGCATTCGGCCAATAACCCCCGTAAGCCCCATGCAGGGTCAACCTTCGCCCTCCGGTGACGTGGCTCAGCAGCACCTGCTGCATGAATCCACTGCGAGAGCTTAGACTAGTTTGGCGTCTGCCTCTGGGTCTGAAGTATCTGCGCAGGCTTTGCAGACTGAGGATGGTTCAGGTCGGGCTTAGGCTTGGGGCGCCTGCGCAAATTCGAGTCCTTTTTGCACGAGCTGCTGGCACTGGGACTGAGGCTCTCCATGACTAGATCATGGCATTCTCCGAGCACCCTTTGGGTGCCTTCTTCGGGGGCGACGTTCCGCAGCAACCATTGGACCCACCCCTCCATTCAACCACTCTCCAAGCTTAGGAGCCGGCTTGTGAAAGATGGGGGTTTAGGGTTTAGGGTTTAGGGTTTAGGGTTTAGGGTTCAGGGTTCAGGATTTAGGGTGTTCCCAAAATAGGGATACTACTTAGGGGAGGTTTTTCCATACTCGTAAGGCTTCTCATACTATGGTGGAGGGTCAACATTGGCAGATGGCGAGGGTGCGGCCAAGAGTGCTTTTGCTAAGTACATAGTACAGCTGTAGTGCGAGCCTGCCAACTTTGCCGAAACACCGGACATGGTGCCAGTTCCATCAAGCTATTTCTAGTCCCCGGTTTGTGTTTCACATGCTCAGTGTTTCGGACTGGCAGGACCGCACTGAAGCATGGGATGTCAATCGAGGAAGCACTCCCAAACCCAACTCCTTTGCTTCAGTCACTATTCCCAACCCACACCCCAGACCACGCTCTATCTACAAGTTCGTGGGCACAACGCAGCAGAGAGGGTGAGCTCCCCGAGAGTCGTCACATCTGCTGTCAAACCACCACTACCCAACAAGCACAGCATCATAGCTAGCCTTCTGGCCCTTAGTGGGCCACACCATCTTACCAGGAAGTTCCTACTCATGATGAAAGCAGTTGGGGTTCTAGGTTTTAGGGGCGATCGATTGCCCAGGTCGCATAACCCCTGGGAGCTCCCCTGCACTGCACGCAAGTCCCAGTCTTACGAGGAGCCAGCTGCATAGGAGCTTACACAGAGGAAGCCGGTCAAGCCTTCTGCTCCGACTTGTGAGTAGTGTCTTGCAGATCACGCAGTGTGGCTTTTACATACCAATTCCCATCAGCTGGCGGGCACATTTCCGCATTTACGATGCACATGACTGGCTCAGAGATGTGCGATGCCCCGTAGCCGTGGCCTGAGTTAGCCGCATGTTCAGGGGGTCGAGCTCAATTTACTTAACGGCCGAACTTGCTAACACAAACTCAGTCTCAGTGTGTCGGGCTTAGGGCTCAACGCTCATGGTTTTGCGATGCCTTTTCCAACGCCTGAACTAAACCCCTTGAAGTCCACATAGAGCACAGGGTCGAGCGCACCGAGTCCGAGTGTGCCCGGCCACTTGCCCGTGACTGTGGTTTTAGGGTTTAGGGTTTAAGGTTTAGGGTTTTGGGGTTGTCATGCACTGCATGGCCCCTCATTTCGGTGGGAGGCTGGGAAGTGCTGCAAGTTTCATCGAGTTTTCATGAGGCTCCGCACAGCCCCTTTACGCTAGAAAGGCTCTGGTGGCAGAAGCTAAACTGGGCGGCTTTCGAAATGTAGGGTTCGATGAAAACAAGCGAGCTGGGGACGACACACACACCCCAAATCCTACTCTCTGTTCCCATTCTTATCTTCTCCTGATGCTTCTTGCTGCTCTTGTAATGGTTCGTGACCGGGCCGCACGATAGGGTGTGTCTTCACGACAGGCTTCGGACATGATCGTCTGAAGGAGTATGTGGAAGCACAGGCTCCCATTAAGAACTTCCCACCCCTACGCACACGCTCGGCAGCGAACGATAGGACAGGTGTTGCTTAGCTGTGCATCCTTATAGTAAAGGAGTCTGTGCTTCCCGCCCGGCTCGGTCGTCCGGAAGTTCCACAGCTGCTGGGTAAATCGGCGCACAGACAAGTCGAATAGCTGTGGTGTTTGTTATCTGCTGGTTGCACCCGGCTGCCCTTATACATGGGTCAGTTCGTGTACCTTCTCACGCAAGCATCGCCGCGCATCCTACAATTTTTTTCGTAGCAGAGTGCAGGAGACAAAGCTTGCCAGTCCTCCTCCTGCTCCTCCTCCTCCCCCCTTCCTCCCCCTCCCCTCCTCCAACCTGCTCCCTCCCCACTCCTCCTCACGCAAACTGCGCACTTTCTAGCCCTGCCCCTCCCTCTCCCTTTCAACCCAAGCCCAGCCCCAAAAACCAATCCGCCGAAGCCAGGGAGCATCGAGGCCGCAAGCGTATCTCCAAGGCCACAGCAGTTGACGTCCTGCGCAGGCCGGTCCACCTCTGCCCTGGGCTGCTGGCAATGTAAGTTCGGGCTTCAGAACTCAGAACTCTAAGCCCCAACTCGGCGGTTCAGGCGTGCAGCGTGCTTATTGCCCACATTCTCAGAAGAGACCCTGCGCTCTGGATAGGAGATCGTGCCACCAGCCGTTCGGCTCCGCGGAACGACAATCCGCCCTGACAAACACGACCCCAAGAAATCCTTGGAAGAAAATTCTGCTCTGTTGGGGACCCTTCCTCGGATCCGCAGCCCTGGAGCCGAAATTTATCGCGAGAGAACCAAACACCCGAAAGTAAGTCCCAGCCCTTCGTCGACAGGGCATACGAAGCAAGAAAAGCTCTGGCAGCCTCTCCCCTTTAGACCATGGAGACCTCCACACGTTCGCCGGAGGCTTCTGGAATATCACGGAAGGATCCGAATTTAAAGTTTATACAGGTCAAGACCTAGATGTCCTGAGGTGTCATGTCGGGCAAGCCGGACGAGGCACACAACTTGGGCTACGGGGAAAGACTGTAAAACAGGGTAAGGATCCAGCAAATGCCTACAAACCGTAGGAGACTACAAAGCTGATGTAGAATAGAAAGGACCTCACGCCCGACAGTTCTTCAAAACCCATTACACCGGACTTCACTGAGCTCGGTGCCCAGCGTCAGGTACCCGTACCAGGAACAGGTCGGGAGCCACCTGTCGGCTGTCGATTTCGAACGGTTTCCGGAGGTGACGTGCCCCTGTTTTTTGGACTCTATAACCCCAAACCCTTTTGCAACTGGACTGCGGACAACTGCCAGGAAAGGATACCACCCCCACTCAGCCTCGGCGAAAATTTAACACCCTGTACGTTGCCGAGCCAAGTTGCGGGTTTTTTCCGAGATGAGCAGCACCAATATATGCTCTTCAAAAACTCCCCGAATCATTGTCGGAAAGCTTACAACACTAGCATCCATCCACTTAACCCTAAAAACCCTAAACCCTAAACCCTAAACCCTGAACCCTACACCCCCCCCCCCCCCCCACCCCCACCCACACAACCACCCGCCCCTAAACAAAAAAAGACCCCCAAAAACAATCTCCACCCTAGTATGAAGCCAGGGGTCATTCTTGCAATGCTTTTTTTGGCCACGCCCCTAGCATGTTCTAGCTGGACATGGCGCGGGCCTTCAAGCACTCTGCACTGCTGTCAACGCCAGCGTGGGCAAGAGGAAACCAGCCCGACGAGGAGCCCTCCGCCTCTTAAACACAAGCATCGTGGGCGCGCAGGCGCTGCGGGGGAACTACATTCAGGTGACCATGGCCAGCAGCCCCAGAGTTGCAAACACCACGTTGCAGGAAGTAGCCAGGCTGCGCGGGAGACTCAAAACTTCTCCGAACACGCAAACCCTAAACCCTAAACCCTAAACGCTAAACCCTAAACCCACCATCGAACTTCGAACCGGCTCCGCCTTGCCATCGTTGGAGGTGCGCGGTTCCTTATGCAGAGGCTGCCCGCCAACATGCTTAAGCCACATGTGCTCCCACAATGCTCTACCGCAGTGCTGTCAAAATTTGGATCATGTTCGACGAAGCCCGCTGGGCTTCTACGACCCACCGAACCCGGTACCCGAAGCCATTCTGCATGTGGGCCCCATGGAGTCAGACGTGAAGGGGGACAGCGTTCCCCGTGGGCTCTGCCTACCCAAAAACTCCAAGATCGATGGTGGCCCCTAAGAGTCCCCTAAGCACCAGCCTGCATCAGAGAAGTCACCCCGGTGGAAAGGGCACTGCTGCCTCCGTCGGGGCCGCAAGAAAAAGCAAGCAGGCTGGCGCGGCTTTGAAGCCCCACTTGTCATGAAGACTGTAAGAGGCAAACATACATACAGTGCAGCCCACCCCTCTTGCATGTTTCATCACTGCATGCTGAAAGCTCACTCGCGCCCTGTATAAGCAATAAGCGAACAAGACTCCTATACTCCCCTTAGAACCTGAATAAAAAGGTTTTTATATCCTCTTGGGTTTTATAGAAACGAAGAAAATAATTTCCAAGGGGGGATATAGACTCATCCTCAGCAGGATTTGCAGCGATGCGGCTGGGCCGGCGCAGCGGCGCAGATCTCGGTGCTTGTGCAGCGCCCAGGTCTGGCTGAGACCACCTGGCTCTCAACGGTCTCAGACAAGGCTCCGGGCTTGCAGATCTGTTGGTTGAACCCTCCCACCCTTCCTTGTAGCTGACAACTAAAGATGCAAAATCCCGCGCGGCTGCGCGAAAAAACGTACACCTTCATGCAACCAAGCAGCAGCCAACTGGTGTCTGAAACCGCCGACGTCGACTGCGTGAGGGGCGGGGCATAGAATGCCGGTGCAGTGGCATTCGGCAGGCGTGGACTTGATGTGCCCCAGTAAGGTGCAGGATCCGGGTATTGCCGTGGCGTCCGTGCAGTGGGCGAAGGGCTCGCAGGTGTTGACTGAGGGGCTGGTTGGTGGACCTGCACCATCTTCAACCCGGTCATTCCCATTCCCATCCGCCCAGGCTGTATGAAGGTGGTCGGCGCGCGGAGGACAGGCGTCGGTTGTTCCTCACGGTTACACATGGGTAACTGTCTTGTGCTATCTCTTTAAGCACTCTCTGCACTTGCGTGAAGTCCAATCAATTCTCCACCACCACAAATTCCAAGAAAACAAAGTCTCGGCGGGAGCCCAGGCCACGGGGTAGATCGGCTGACCTCCATATCATACGAGGAAAACTCTCACACCCCCGCAAGTTGGAATATGAATTTTGGGCAACCCAAGCTCTCGATACTATGACAGTTGCCGAACCTTTTGTTCTGCATTGTTCTGTCTCCCGTTCCCTGCCTGGGAAGTGGACCGGTTGTGAGCGTTCTGGGGGTGGCCTTTGCACTGGCACGATCGACTCTCGTCGCATCTTTCGAGCTGTCCGAGCACCCTCCCGCCTGCCGGCACACGCGATGCCGGGCTGTGCAACTTGTGCAACCCTGGGATAGGACTGCGTCCACCTCGCATGTGCGGGGGGTTGGGGTGGGCATGGCATGGCTCACAGCCATGGCATGGCAGGGCCACACGCAGATGGTGTGTAAACGCTCCCAACATGAATGCATATCCAGGTGTTTGAGAACATGACTTCAAGCTGCCCAGGCCTTTGATTTTCAGGTGCTGGCCTCTGTTCCATCTATCTATCTCCAGCCATACCTTTCTTGGGACCTCGTCACAATGCTCTCCTCGTTACAATGCTCGAGCACCGTTCATGCCTCACTGGACGAGTTCGAGGCGTGGCCGGGCCTCAGCCGCAGCGCAGCTACTCTCTCAGCAGGCTCTCAACCCACGATGCGCTTGTGGAGTTAAAAGAAACATGAAAAGAAACAGGGCATGGTCAGAAACTTTCGGGCATGCCCCGTGTTGGAGCTTCCTCTGTACCACCTGAGCTGTTAGGACCTGAGGTTCCGACTGACACTGCGAGCCGGAAGCTGCAAGCCTGACTCGGCTGGCACTGTGTCTCCGTTCAGCCACTCTCCCCTGTCCCCTCTTGTGTCTGGCGACCTTCGTCTCAAGGTTGTCTAGAATACCCACAAACTTGCCAGACGGAACATCGGTCTCAACCCTCGGCCTTAGCATCAACACAGACATCCCAGGTCCTGAGCCCCTGAATCACAGCACTTGCATCGCACAGCTTTTTCATTCCATCATCTTTAGCCCCGAATCGTCCTGCGTCTCCGGGCCTTCAAGTGCACAAGCAAAAACCTGCAAAGCTCCACCCGAACCCCTGCGGCCTCAAGCCGGGAAGGCCGATCAAGTGCTTTGGGTTGCGGTTTACGGCACTTGCGGGCTCAATCGCACATGCCACGCTCGGACAAGCCAGGCAAGGCATGATTGATCATGACAGCCTGTGGGGTTTGGGTTTTTTTGCCATATGGTGGGCTACCCTGAGGAAAAGAAATGACCAAACTCAAGCAGTCCAAGGACAGAAATCAGAGCGTTCACACACCTAGTTGCAGCGGTAGCATGCAATGCGGCACGAACAAAGGAAGGCACCAAGGCGCAGGCTGTCCAGTACTCTTGGCTTGGGACACAGTGACATGGCCGACACGTTGGACGCTCCCCCTAAACCCTAGTCCCTAAACCCCAAACCCAATTAAACCCTAAACCCCTTTTTTTGAGCAACGGACTTTGGAGGCTGCCGGCAAACCCTAAACCCTAAACCCTAAGCGGGGTGAGGGGCCAACTTAGTAGGGGCCCACCTGGGCGCGTCACGCGCGCCGCCAGTCGCGAAGAGCTCCAGGGGAGGGCCGCGATGCCGCTCTGGTACTTCGCCCGCTGCACAGCCTACTTGGAGGTTCATGGGTAACTGGTTTTTTTTTAGGGTTTGGGGTTTAGGGTTTAGGGTTTAGGGTTTAGGGTTTAGGGTTTAGGGTTTAGGGTTTCGGGCTTTGGAGGTTCATGGGTAGTGAGAAGTGGGGTTAGAAGTAGGGTAACTATACTTACATTACACCCTTACTAAGGGTACTTATTACCCAGGAACCTTCAAGTAGCAAGATGCGGGGGCAGCCTAAGACTAAGTCCACAGGTCAGATGCTGCTTAGAATGAGGGGAGCGGGGTTCGCACTGGTAGCTAATCGACATCATCTCATGCACAGTATAATACATAGTAGCCATACAATGCATATTCATTGCAAAACTTCTTCAAAGCACTGTTGCCTTTGCTGCGTCCAGGGCCGCTCGGGACGCCAAAGCCAAGGCATCCGCTTGAGCTAGCAGGCCTTGTCAAACTTGCGACTCTGCGTGGGGGTTCATAGAAGTCATGACTTGGAAATTCATTTTTGATGACTTTGGGCGACGCGGCCGGTAGCAAACCCATCTTTACGGGAGTATTTGACCGATTCGCTGCGGCTCAGTTCAAGAATCAACTCTTTCACTTATATCTGCATGGCCCTTGCTGCGCTGGCTCGGAGCAACTCAGAGCCTTGCAAGAATTGCTTTCATTTGGCTGCAGCTCCGGATCACACCGCATGCCCAGCTTCTCCTGGAGCTTCGAAAAACACCACTCAGAAGCCTCTGGCAGTGAATCCCTGTCCTTCACAGCTCCCACCACGGAGGGCTCCTTAAGGTGGCAGAGGGCAAGAGGGCACTTTATCAAGGGGATCCTATGATCCAGACCCCTTTCTCCAAGTCAAGAGTCGGCCGGCTGCGGCTGCGGCGGCTTCTGCTCCAGCGTATCCACCAAACGACCCCGGAGCTCGTCGACCAACTCATAGGCAACCTGCTCAGGGGCGCAGGGGGCAGAAGGGTGGGAATTGCGGGAGAATCACCAAAAGTCGCGCCCCTTCCAGATTCCACAAAAGCATAAACTTGAGGTCATTGAGGTCAATCTTTAAACGGAGTGGAGCTCCTTGATTCTTGCATTTACCTTCCTTGGTACTCGCAAATGTCAATGAGGCGCTTCAGATATAACTTGTAATCGACGAATAAAATCGGCTTTCTACCAGTTAACTCGCTCGCTCGGAAAAAACATGTCAAAAAACAACAGCAACTTGCACAACAAGCTACGAAAAGGCATTTGAAAGCGAAATTATGTCGCACTGGCGCCACTGGCTCGGTGGAGCTCGGTGACTCCATTTCACATCTTCACGTTGTCACGCTGTCACGTCTTCACTCCGAAGTATGCATCGTCATGTCTTCGTGACTTCACGCCGAACGTCAAGGCTCACAAGAATTCGGAGGGTTTAGGGTTTAGGGTTTAGGGTTTCGGGTTTAGGGTTTAGGGTTTAGGGTTTAGGGTTTAGGGTTTAGGGTTTAGGGTTTAGGGTTTAGGGTTTAGGGTTTAGGGTTTAGGGTTTAGGGCTTCATGAGGCTTCGCAGCATGTATCTGTGTGCCCTCTTCTCCCCGCAGCACCTCCAGCTGGTGTTCCATGGCCGCCTTCTGCTGGCAAGACCTTGCTCCCACTCAGGCAGTGCTAGGGTTCAGGGCTTAAGGCTTCGGGTTTAGGGTTTAGGGCTTAGGGTTTAGGGTTTTTGTTTCCCTCCTCCAGGGTTTAGGGTTTAGGGTTTAGGGTTTAGGGTTTAGGGTTTAGGGTTTAGGGTTTAGGGTTTAGGGTTTAGGGTTTAGGGTTTAGGGTTTCGGGCACATGCGTTGGACACCTGGCAGCTCCTTGCAGATGCGCTGCTCGTCGAGTTGCCTGGCCACACATGCCACGATACCCCCTGCTTCTTAGTAGGGAATGAGGGAATATACCTTTAAGGGATTCTATAGGGTACCTATATATACACTCGAAGGGCCTCATTCTCCTCATTCCCTACTAAGAACCAGTCACCCTAAACTTGCCAAGGCCCTACGCAGACGCTACTATAGGGGCCTTCTTAATGATTAGAATAGGGTCTTGGGGGTCTATTGTAGTATAGCTACAAAGGGACCCGAAGGGAATATTATTCGTATTTATTCCGACCCCTGTATATTTTGACCCTATGTGGCATAAGGGTCCGTTTCAGCCCGCTTGTGCCATCCCTACTTGGAGGTTCATGGGTAGTTAAAAGTAGGGTAAACAGCACCCCAAACAAGGTTATGTAGCCAGTTGTAATTCTCGCTACCCTACTTACAACCCCACTGATAGCTACCCCTGAACCTTCAAGCAACCCCCCCCCGGGACCGCTGCAGCTCCACCATCTCGACATCGGGCCGCCGCGGCTCTTCGGGCGTGGCTTCCTTGTTGCAACAAGGGCTTCGAAGCTTGAACTGTGTCGCAACAAGGTTGCGGTCTGAACTGGAGCTGTGTCCCTGAACCTCTCACGCGCCCAAAAAAAAATGGAACTAGACTCTTGGTCCCTTTGGAAGAGAGGTGGCTGTGAGCGTTTTGTCAACCATCTTTTTGGAACGAGCCCCGGCCCTTACAAGTACCTCACCCCCGCCCCCTGGACCGAATCGACCTTTGCCGCTGTCGGGTCTGCCATGCTCTGCCATGGGGCCGGCTCGGGCTGCGCTGGGCCAGTCTCCTGGGCATTTGGCTGTACTCTACAGGTATAGCTACTCACCATCCTTCAGGGTTGGTTTGGCAGCTTCGGGCTTCGGTCGCGCTGAGAACAAGGCTGGTGAGGCATCTAATGTTCTTGACCGCAATTCGCAAACTCATCCGCTAAGACCCACAACAAGCTCAGAGGAACTGTTGCAATTTTTTCGTGCTGAGGACGTTTTTTGCACCAGGTCTCCACGCCGCCAGGATCGGCCTGGGCAGCGCTCCTTCGAGGCGTCCGCGGCTCCTCTTGTGCAACGTGCGCGTCAGCCAGCATCCGGCTATGCGTGGTTACATGGACCTTGGCCTCACCTAGCATTACCCAGTCTCAAAGCAAATGAGCTCGCAACGATGCCAACATGTTGCCCTACAGCTCACGTCCTGCCGCTCTGCACCCTTCCTTGTGTGGCATGCAAAGCGAAAGCTCGCTGCAGATGCACATGTAGCAGCGTAGTCAAATGGATTGCTATGGATTATTGCACGCTGGCGGGGCATGGAATTGCAACGGAGAGCAGCTGAAACAGTTCCAAGATTCTCGGCTCCGAATTTCAAGGTCTTCCTCCTGTTGCAACTCACAAAAAGCAGCCAGAACTAAGCCCTTTTTGCAGGAATGCCGAAGCCGGTCAGCAGTGCATCAGCAAGCTTGATGCAATCTGCAGGGGCACCTCCCAGAAGACGTCGCTTGCGGCCTTGGTTGCAAGATGCTGCAGGCAGACTGATCGCAAAGCATCACGCAGCAAGTAGTGCAGTGCAGGAGCGTGGTGCTACCACGGCTTTTCGAGTCCTTGCGCCCAACCAGAGGCCTCGGGTTCATAAGCTTCTTGTATTGAAAAAGTCTAGGCTTGGGGGTTGCCAACGCCCACCGGCTATAGCAATTCCTATGGCAGGCTTCAAAGTGCCGGGCGCACATGGGTCTGCAAGTTCGTGAAGGTGTCCGTGCAGCTTTGGCCGGTGCCGCTGTAGGATGGACGGCGCTCCGACCACAAGATCTTAAACTCGATCCATCCAACCACAAACGCTCAATCCCTTGCTTTTGAGGCAGTGACTTGTCGAGCACAATCGTTGTCCTGCGAGCACGCTGACAGGGTAGGGCCATGTGGCGTATGGGCGCAAGATGTGGCCAGTTCTCTGACATATGGCCCCTTGTTGATCCACGGGTCTGAGTACCAAAGCCACCTAGGGACCCAGAACTTTTCGAGCTTCCCCCAGACCTCAGCGATGTTCCCAAAACCCTCTTGCACTCACAGCCTCAAACCCTGCAACATTCGAAGCCTGAGCCCAAGCCCATCCAAGCCTCATCCGACCCGTGGGGGTTTTAACCAGAGCCGCCCGGCCAGTGGACGCTTTGCCTTGGCATGGTCAGTTCTCTCGAAGATGCGGCCTAGAAGGAGCACTTAGAGTTTTGGGGCACCCAAGAAGGAACCATAATGTAGAGAACTGGCCGGAAAAGAATGGGGACGCCGGGCCTTTCGGTTCCTCTTAAGAAAGGCCATATGCCAATCGTCCCAGTGCTCATTCAGGATTCCTTTTTTGCACAAGGTTTTCGAATCCAGGGTTACTGCTTGACCAAGGCGCAGTACACATGTCTCCATAGATTTGCTATTCTCATTTCAATAGATGGTTCTTCTTATTGTGGTTCTTGATGCCATTCTCCTTGGTCTTCTGCCTCCTTTTCTTACTGCTCTGCACGTCTGTCTGGTCTGTCCCCGTTTTGACGAAGGTTCCCCCTGCATAGCTTTTAACTTTAAAAGGGCAAGCTGGACAGCCTGTCTTTTCTAATGGGACCTTAGGGGTTATTTAGGGGTTGTTTAGGGGCTACTTAGGCGTATACCCCTTTTTGTGTCTAGATAGCCTCGAGCATCATCGGCGGCCGATCAAACCCTCCTAAGGAACCCTTACAGCCCAGAACTGTGTGACACAGGCTCGTGCGAATGCCCTTTGTCCCCGCTTTCTGTGTCGATGATGGAACTCCCTTGTCGCCCTAAACCCCAAACCCCCCCCCCCCCCCTGGCCCCGATGGTGCATTCTGGGGGCGCTCCCTCTTCCCGGCGCTCACACAGGACTTCCAGAGCCTGAGAGTCAGGGCTGGAAAGAACCCTGGGCTCCAAAGCGCAAGGGGTGTTTTTTTCAACTCGGGGGGTTTACAGGGCTTAGGGGCTTGGGTGCCTCCTCAACTCTGGGGGGGGGGGGGGGGCGCATGAAAAAAGCCCGATGTCAGTTCCTCCTTTTGGGCCAAGGGTCCCGAAGATCAGGCGCCGGAGGGAGTCCTCGGAGTTCATTATCCTGGGCTGCATGGAGCTATTTTGCTTATTCGTGGAATTTAAATCCGGAATCAGCGTTGCAGTCGAGTAGACTAGAGCAGGGGACTGAATCTGAACCCGACGAAGTATCAGACAGAATGCGCAGCTTCCGCTTGGAAATACTTGGAAAAACCCCCATGTGCCCTGTGTGGCCCTGTGGTCCTGAGCATCAGGGGCTGCGATTCCTGGGACACCTTGAAAGCCTTCTCGGCCTCCAGGACCACACTCCTCAGACTCAAGGAATTGAGCTTGGGACGTTCCCCCTTATACGAATAGTCCTGATTAGGGAGTAGAATCCTACTAAGGATTGTCAGTAATTATGAGGGGGAACATCCCAAAATTGAACGAAGATCATGCGCACAGCCCTGGCGGTGCATATGTCAGGTCAGGGTGCCCGAACATTGGTAGGTATGCTCACTTGCTTACTGGGCATGGGCGCGCAAAGCGCGCAGGCTGCAAGGCTTTCTGATAAAAAAATTCAGTTTCTGAGGACCTTGTTCAACCAGGGCTGCAGGCTCTGTAGGATTTAGGTGCAGATTTTGCTCCGCTGCTGGAGACAAGGGTCTCCAGGTGTCGCATCCGCTGGAAGATCTCCGCTGCCTCCGCCTTCAAGTTTGCAAGACCCAAGAAAGAATGCTCTACGGCCACACCACATTTCCTGTGCCCCAGTCTATGGGTGGCTGTCAAAATTATGATCCTTTTGGGGTACCCTAAGTATTAGGTGCCGTATTATAATGGGGATCCAAAAAGGGACCATCCTAAACCCTAAGCCCCAAACCCTATTGACAACCAACCCTATGAGGCTCAACCGCAAGCCGCCTCGTGCCAAGGGTCCTCGAGGGGTGGGAGCTCTGGCATCGCACCTTGGAGAGGGTTTAGGCTTTAGGGTTTAGGGTTTAGGGTCTAGGGTCTAGGGTCTAGGGTTTAGGGTTTAGGGCTTAGGGTTTGCTCTCGTGCCCCCCCTGCATAGAGATGTTTCGCTAGCAGCGACGCCCGGACCAAACCGCAAACTCTGAAACCCTGTCATAAAGCCTTAAACTCATGTAATCCCGCTCTGAAACCCTGTCATAAAGCCCTAAACTGCCTAAGGTCATGGAATTTCGAAGGACCAGCCAGGCAGCCACTGCTATCCTTCTGCCTCCAGTAGTCTCTCATGCGCTCCAGCCGCTCTGCGAGCTGACTGACAGACCAGATGTACCTCTGGGGCTCTTCTGGTCGGTAGTGATAAGGTTTAAAGTCTAGGGTTTAGGGTTTAGGGTTTAGGGTTTTAGGGTTTTGTAGGGTTTAGGGTTTAGGGTCCAGGGTCCAGGGTCTAGGGTTTAGGGTGACTATTGTGAGTACTCTTTCGGGTTCTAGGCTTTCTGCCAACCTAGCACAGCCTGAGGAGATGCAGAATCACGGATGGCTTTCACATTCCCCCTGGGCACTTGTTCTTCCAGTGTTCCTCATTCGTGCAGCCCGGGCCATCGTCGCAGTCACAGTACAGAACGCGGATGGTAACACACCTCGGAGACTCAAGGGTAACGGAGCTGGCGAGGTGGGCTCCAATGTACGGATCCAATCGACTGTTTTCCAAAAGGGTAGTGGGGGTTGTGTTGGATAAATCAACTTTTTGAGGTTCCGGACGGCGTCCACCCTGACTGCGAACGCAGATAGAAACGAAAGCCTCCGTACGCGAGCTTTCGTGACTTGTTGAGACACGCTCACGCAGAGGTTGTTGGCGAATTATGTGATATGTCGGTGTGCGAGAGGGTCTGCCGAAATCCAGTGCTTACCTGGGGATGCTGGCATCCCCCCGTGCTGTGCTTGTGCACAGGCTGCTTCGTCACGAGAGCACATCTGCGCAGAATGCTTCAGCGCCACACGTACATGGATGCTTCTTCTCCACACGTTGCAACTGCGTCCGTGTACTGAATGCCTCACCATCTCCTGCTGCATAGGTCGACTGACATGATTGTGCTGGGAGGATCTCGTATGCTCCCCAGGATGACCAGCAGGTGATGGTGCACCATTGCGCAGCATACGTTACAGGAATGTTACAAGTTATAACCATCAGCAGCAGGTGGCTGCATCTTTCGTTAGGCAGCGACTGCTGAATGTATCACTTCCCCATTGCTTGTGGAAAGCGTAGTATTCGTCGCATGTTCTGGGCATTCCCCACATCCAAACTCACACTCACGCTCACACTCACGTGCAGAGACAGCTGCAGTGGCGGATGTATATTGACAACTCTTCCAAGCAAAGCGTCGGAGGGAACGTGCTCGTCAGGTCCACCTCAAAGTGCAGAGCGTCAGACCCAGATCGGCACTCCACGGTCACTTCGTTGGCCTGGCCGGCCGTTTCAGAGCCAAACTTGCGGCTGCTAACCGAGGCTGGATGGCTCACTCAGGTGTTACGGAAAGACCAGATTCTGTCAGCCTTCAGCTTGTCAAACTGCCCTCAGCATCCCTCAGCCAGCCTTTTGGGTAAAACGCCTGTTAGTGGCGACAATGCGTCAGTATGTTCGTGAAAGCGCGGGCCTCGTCTGTAAGGCGGCAGGCTTGCCTCGGAGATCAGGGGTCTCAGGTCCCCCCGTCCCTCCTCATGCGGTTGCGAAGCACTTGGGGGGTTGCCTGGGGCCTAGTCTTCGGAATCTTGCTGGAGGGTGGCTTGATCTCTTCCATCAAAGTCGAGGCCATCGGTGCTGACCTGGAAAGAGTCTTCACTTGCAGGAAATGGCACTTGCGTTTCATGGTTTACGACCCGGGCTCCTTCCGAAACAGGTATATAAGGCTTGTCAGAGCACAAGCACGGTTTGATGTGTGCAGCCATGACTCATCTGGCGCACAACTTGCCCCACGTAGTCTTGCAGACTCTTCCAGGATGGAGAGTTTTCCAGCCTTCTCACTGAACGCTACGCAGACAGAAGCATGCCCATGGATGCCCTCTTCTTGAAGGTTCATGGGATGTTAGCAATAGGCTCATTGCATTTACATATACATACAGATAAGTGTATATGCATACATGCATCTCTCCATCACTGATGCTGAGAAAAAGGATTGCCTAAGGCCTAATTAAGGATTATTGACCATGGGCAAGCAACTCGGTTGTGTCCGTGTCATCTCGCTGCAGCACCAGGTCATCCTTCAGGGGCGACGGGGGCCAAGGCCACTCCAGCCGTGGCGCAACTTGAAAACCGAGCTTGCGCGCGCAACGGAACTGTTGAGGGTCTGCATCTACACCCTGGGACCAGTGTGTGGGTCCTGGTTAAGGGCGGCCCCCTCGCCAGGATAGACAAGCCTCAGCAAAGCACGGAGGCACGGAATCCACTGACTCTGGTGTGGAGATGAAGCTTGAGTCGAAGGTCTGCTAGAGATTGGCGGATGAAGATAGGAAAAAGGCCTTTGGAGAGGTAGTTTGCAGGCCCCCAAGCCAGAGCAGAACAGGCCCTGGCTCGAGCATACGATTCCTCGTTCAAGCCGCCGACTCTGACAGTATAGTAAATCTGACATTCGGGATGGGAATCTCACACCCATCTACCCCGACTTCACATGCAAGTGTCCCTCACGAATCCTGGCGACAGAACTCCAAAATCCCCACACCAAACAGCGGTCGTTTACGGGTCCAGGACACTTGAGGACATATGTGCGGCCCAGCGAGATGCGATCACCTCGGCTGGGGATGCGGATCCCGGCAAGCCATGTGCAGATTTCAGCCTACTTTGTGTCTGGGTCAGCTCGACGCAACTCCCGACGCCGAGCCGCCATTTTGCAGTTCCCGCATTTGGTTCTGCTCCAGCAGCTTCCCTTGCAAGGCACGCATGTCTGACAGCCACAATGCCATGAAGCTCCATGCTCATTCCAGCTTTTCCGCGAAACCTCCGGGCAGGTAGTATGGAGCTTCCTGGGAAAGGCTACCACTCAGGCCCACGCCATTGACGGCAACACGTGTACCGTCGGACAGCCGCGTGAGGCTCACCCCACCTGCCTGAAGTTCATGGAACGCGGTGCCAAGCTGTGATAGCCAGAACGCTCCATGCCGAAATGTGCCCAACAACAACGCCTGCGAAGCGTCCAGTATTCATCAGCCAATAAGGAAACCCTTAATGCCGGCCTCCAGCACATCAATTCGGCATAAGAAATCTGGCATTCCCAAGCCTGCCAGGCATGGGACGGGTGCGACAAAGGCCTAAGAAGGGTGGGTTGCTTACAGGGGACAACAGTCACGTAGACGGCCGCAACTCTAATTCTGAACACCCACTATGCACGGCGCCTTTCAGCACGATGGTGTTCTCCTTGTTGGCACCCATCGTTGTTGGCTTGTGCTCCTGTCTCGGGTCACTCGCCACAGGAGACACGAGAAGATGGCCAAACAGATCGCATCTACATCTATCTGGTCGGGCCGCCATGGAAGGAACCAGGTTTGGCTTGTTACAGCGCATCTTCTGGACACTCGACCGCTGCCTAAACGCTCCTGCAAACTCAGCAGTGCTACATTGTAATTAAGTGTCATACGTATTTGTGAGTACTGCGATCAAGAGCAAAAACCATCTTTCAACCCTTGACAAGGTGGCCTGGATCAAGTAGATCAAACATCCGGCAAGCATGGGGTCAAAGGCCATGTTCACCATGTAAGGCTGACCATTGCTGATTCCGAAGGCCTGACAGTCCAAGAAAGGGCCAGGAATCATGGCTCCTTACATAAGCCCACCGAGCTCAGAGCTACCCACGGACCTCGAAAACTCCTCCCCCCCCCCCCCCCCCCCCACAAAAAAAACGAAACGAGCGAAGGAAGGGGCGGCCTCCGTGATGTGCCCGTGTGAAAGGCCGCTCTCCTCCAGGGCCTTCTCTCGTGCCCTGCTCATCTCGCGGGCGGCCTGCGCCATCTCCGATGAAGGGTTTTGGGGTTTAGGGTTTAGGGTTTTAGGGTTAGGGTTTAGGGTTTAGGGTTTAGGGTTTCGGGTTTTAGGAGACTCAAGGGTATCTGGAAGCAGGGTTATAAGGGGAGATGTACTTGCAACCCTGTGCCTACCCCCACGAACCTTCGAGCTTGGGCACTGCCCAAGAAGAATCTAAACGTAGTCTCTCACAACGCGGAGAAGCATGGACAAGCGTGTCCAACCTCACTTTGCTTTGACATTGGGCCCTGAAGGAGGAGGAAGCTCGACAAAACATAAGGTCTCAGTGTGATACTCTAAGGTCTAGTTTCTTTCGACTTGGTACAATTCGCGAGGGTTTCCAGCCTTCAGCTCTTCCTGAAAGTCCTGCTGCGTCTGCTCCTGGCAAAGCTTCTTTGGCGATGAAGATTTGATATGTTTTCTCTGCGGGAACGCGTACTGCTCCCTACTGCATCATGGGCGCGGTCCTTGATAAGTCTCTCGCGCTCCTTCAGCTGCTCCGATGCCTCCGCCACCTTCGAGCATTGAGGGTTCAAAACAGGCTCGAGCATCGCATTGATAGCAATGAGTACAGCATCTTTGTGGGCAAGGTGCGTTGAGCCCTCCGGCTGCCATCTGCGCTTTCAGCAGCCGCATCTCCTTGCAACCGGCCAAAAGGAGATGGCCTTTGCTGAAGGACATGAAGCCCCCGCGCCTGCTGCAAGTTGTCGATGAGCTGATCCTTTTTGTTCTTGTTCTGAACAGCCACTGTCTTAATGCTTTTGACCTCGGGCAGGCGTGCAGCTGCAGGGTTGCCAGCCCAAATGAAGTTCAACATGAAAGAAACTTTATGATCATGGCCTCGCTACTTGTGTGCTGGCAAACATGATAGCAATAGCATAGTAGCAGCAGTAGTCGAGCAATAGTCGTTGTCATTGCCGTAGTACTACTCAGGCCCTGGCCGACGAGGCAAATCTCAATGTCGAGACAGTCTCATCGTAGTTGTCCTTTGCTGCAACATGTCGGGCTGCTAACAAAACAAGCTCTTCCATTTCGATCTTCCCACGCGAAGTCAGTGCTATGCTTCTTTTCCTTGCCTTCCTGTCGCCAAAGGTTTTCTCCCCTGATTCGCTGAACTCGCGTTAATTTGTGTTTACTACCATGCTATGGTCACCCGAAACAATTCCGGATTCCGGCGTCTCCCACCGCCCCTCTAAAACTATTTCTTTAAGGTACCCTTCATATCCCTTCACGATACACTGCTGAGACATTGGCGGGTGATGCACAAAGCACCACACCCTGGCAAACTTCGCCATGGAGATGGCCCAGAGACCCTCCAGATCATCTCGTGTTGCAGATAAGGATCGCTGGCGGGTGAAACCGTGGCCATCATGCCTTGGTGAAACGTTCAGCCGCTCCCAGACACGTATAAAACGTGTGTATCTATATGTATGTATATATCTATATACATACATATGTTTGTATGTGTATATATATGTATCTATATATATATATGTGTGTGCATATGTGTGTGTGTGTCCTACGTGTACATATCATGTGGTGGTGGTGCTAGGACTGCGAGTTCAAAACATTCCGCTCCAGAACCGCTCCGAGTCGGCATCACATAGAAGCCAAGTAGCAGGTCTTTGAGTTGCCTGCCAGTGAGTCCTGCGAAGAGAGCTTACAGGTCAGATTGCGTACGTCACGTCAGATGTCTTTCCAGTTTCTTTGGGTCAAGCAATGCTTTGTGGAGGCTTGCTGGTCGAATCACGCCCTCGCCAGTACACCACCGACACTCCTGAACATGGCCCTTCTCAAGAGCGCTGTGTTATACTGTGACTCATGGGCGAAGACAAGGCCCGCAACTCGCCTTCAGGAGGAAGGTAAGCTTGGATGCACGGAACATGGGGGCTTTCAACCCACCGCTGCTCTGCTCCGTCAACATCCTTGGCCGACAAAGGGTTCTGGAACTTTGAATTCTGACTGCTGTCACGATTGCCATGTTGCTACTGCTTCGGATGCTGCTGCCCTGGCCACTCCTACTCCTCAAACTGTTGTGGCGTGCTAACTGCTTGACACAGAAGAATTGTACGGAGTCGATGTAAACCCTCATCCTGCCTCCATTTCAATCCGCAGTACTCCTGACAGCAAGAACCGCTTCTATTGAGCCCCCCTGCGTTTGCTAGGGAGAGCCCCGTCGCCCAGACGTTGTATTTACAACGTCTAGGTGTCCGGCAACGCACTACAATCTCGAAACCACACAGACAAAGCCCGATTAAGAAAGCCTCGCTCTCTTCGCATCTCCCTGCGCATTCACCTCCTGCAACATAAGGACAATGTCCGAATGGTTATTCGCAGATGCTGCGGATAGCGCAGTCATACCATTCCGGTCAGCTGCATCTGCATCTGCCCTGGCTTGGAGGAGCAAGCTGACAACCTTACAGTGTCCATTCTGAGATGCTGCGCAAAGCGCCGTTGCACCGTTGCAATCTTGGTCGTCCTTGTCGGCGCGGGCTTCAAGCAAGAGGGTCGCGATCCCCAGGTGGCCCTGATAGCACGCTGCAAACAAAGCTGCTGCGCCGTTGCGATACGCCTTGTCCATCAGGGCCTTGGCTTCCAGCAGCTGACGAGCAATGGCCATGTGGCCAAACTGGGATGTTATGCACAACGCAGTTGCACCGTCGTCTGCGGCTTTGTTAACTTCAGCCCGGGCTTCGATCAGCCTGCGGGCCATTTCCGTATGGCCATTCTGAGATGCCATGAGCAAGGGAGTGGCGCCACTGCGCGACGCGCGGTCTTTGTCCGCGCGAGCTTCCAGCAAGAGGCAGGCAATGCTCAAATGCCCGTTCTGAGACGCCATAAGCAAAGGAGTTGCACCATTGCTTGTGCCTTTGTCCTTATCTGCTTTGGCCTCCAGCAGAGCCCGAACTACATCGCAGTGTCCGTTCTGAGCCGCCAGCAGCAAGGAAGTGGCACCGTTGCTGCTGACAGTTTTATCCTGATCGGCTCCTGCTTCGAGCAAACTCCGGACCACCTCCAGGTGGCCGTTGGTTGATGCCACAAGCAAGGGCGTCACACCGTTGGGCTTGTCCTGTCCCGCCCGGGCCTCCAACAGCAGCCGGGCAACTTTGGCGTGGCCCCTGTCAGAAGCGAGAAACAAAGGTGTGAGCGGACCTCCCAAGTCTGGGTCCTGTGGTCTCTGCAGCAAGCGCTCGACGTCTGCAAAGGCGTCATTTGCCGCGGCGGCCGAAAGCTCCGCCACTTGGGCGTCCGATGTCGGGCAGAACTGAAGGAGCACCAGTTGCATCTCGCCTGGTTCCAGCACTGCGGCGTCATCAACAATAGTGCCATCTTGAAGCAAGAGCCGCTGTCTAAATCTGGGAAGCCCACAGAGACTCGACAAGTGCCGCTTCAATGCCCGAATGGGAGAATCTGCTGTCCCTGCCAGCTCCGCAAGCTCAGGAAGCTCCGCAAGCTCCGGAAGCTGCATCGTGGAGAGCATCTTGCCCGAGGGCATGCGGATGCGGAGCATCTCTGGAGTGGCCACCACTACACTACGCTGCGCTTGCTGCGGGATGACGCGACGACTTGGAGGCTCATCACGGGTAGTTCGAAATGCGGCTGTATGTAGGGTAACTACTTGTATAACTGGCTATGACCTTAGTTAGGGTACTTCTAACCCTGCGTACAACTATCCATGAACCCTCAAGTAGCGCCAGAATTTGATGATCTCTGCTGTGTCTTGTGATGCTGGCACGGCAACTTGGCAGGCTGAGTTTTTGACACGCAAAGATGTCAGAGGGAGCCTTATGCATGGACTGCTCACAGTCATGCCTGCAGGGCCGAGGCTCTTGATCACCAAGCCAAGCTGAGATAAGCTCCTTGCGACAGATGCTTTTCGGATCAGGCACGCAGCAGCGTGGCACTCAGAAGATCACAACTCAGACCAAGAGTCAACGATGATTCGTACGAGTACTTGCTGTGTCTGAGGTAGTTCGGGGCTTGACATCTGCTTAGAATCAAACACTCCCAAAGCTCACTGAGTTAGGCACTGGTTGATGGCGCAGCCTTCTTTCAAGCGCTCGTTCTCGGTCTGCGCCTGAAGATATCCGAGTCACACTTGGCCCAAAAAGCTATCATGAGGACTGCAACAACTACCACCTCTGTGTGGCAAGAAGTCTGGAGCACTGCACTGAAGAGGCACACCTTGGATGTGCGCTCGCTTCCAGCGAGATCAATGAGGTTGATCTTGGCCTGAGCTCTTTCTACGAACGCCTTCTCCAAGCAAGCCAGGCAATTCTTTATCACGGGAATAACAGCGGCAAAGAAGAACTCTAGCAGGTAGGTACAAGACAGCATGAGCATGCTCTACGCTGCCCGGCAGCATGCAGGGACTTGCGCTCGTCCTTGCCGTTCTTGCCCTTGGGGCGCTCCCCCTCGAGCCTATTCACGATGATGGTGAAGACCGCCTGGAACAATTGGAAACCCCCAGCTTTCGGAGCTGCTTCTGGAAATACCACATCCGGATGCGTTGCGTTCCCGCAGACAAGGTCTGGGGCAGGATGCATGCAAGGAGCGTGAGAGCGCGAGGAGCTTTGGTTCATGTTCGTGGCAGCGATGGTTCTCATCTTGAGACCATACTCCAAGTTGCCTTATGCATGAGTCGCGTCTCGGAAGCTGCCGGAGCTTTTGAAAGTTTGGCTCAACCAGGTTGCGCATGCTTGGGGGCTCTTGTTTGGTCTGAAGCCGCGTTGCTCATGACGTCCGACTTCGTGGCGCAGGGCATCAGGTAGAGGCCCTTTACATAGACACCCAACTTGGGGTGCTCCTGGAGCAGCAGGCACACACATAGCGGCAAGCAAGCCAGCTCAATTTGTCCACTTGGTCGGAGGACAGCTTCCCTCAATTGCAAGCCAACAGCCCGCACCTTGCGAACATCCGTGATAGGCCATCAAGATTTGTGTCCCAAGATGTCCCACGCTGCTGCTACCCAAAACTCAACATCTGCCAAACACGTAACATCTGCCAAACACGTAGGCTTGCAATCCAGGCAGCCATGATCTTCAGGTTCTCGCCCTGCAGGCAACAAGTCAACCCTGCACAGCTCCTGGCCTGCCTACAACGCACAGGAGTGCCAAAATCATCTATCTAGGAGCAGCGCTTGCAATATTCTTGCAGGCGTGGTTTCCCTTGCTCCGGTTCGTAGACTGAGTGGACCTTGATGGGACCTGGCCTTTGACTCCTTGTTCGCGCTGAGGGCTGCAAAAAGGTCGGTGACCTGCTCCTGCACAACAGAAAGGTGAGAGTTGTGAGAGATTCGCCGCTGCAGCGCATGCAATCTCTTGCGCAAGTTACTAACCCCTCAATCAAACACAAAACCCGGAGCTTCCCCAGCAGACACGCCCCTTTTGGAGTTGGGGGTGTTAGGAGGGGGATTGGGGCGCAGGGTTCTTAGCTCAGGGTTTGAGGCTGTCAAACCTGTCCCATAGGTAAGCACCAAACATGCCCGTGTTTGTCAAGCGTTAATATACCCTTCGTAGCGCATGTTCGACCTCTATCGTGTGTTTTCGCTTTAGGAAAAAACCAAAATGTGCCGGTTGCAAATTGCAGTGTTCCACCGTGTTATGCTCTCCGTCGCGTGCGGCAACGTGCCGGTCGCGTATGGCAAGATTGGCTGACGATGTTGGGCTGCGGCCTCTGGATTGCCAGCACATGTCGATCACCCAGGCAAACACCAAAGACACAGGCCCCAATCTTTGCTCATCTTTCTTTTCATGCTTTTTATGAAGGCAATCCACAGGACGCGACCCGACCTGTGTGGATATGCCTACTCAAAATAGGGACTCACCCTTCCACTCTAGCTAATCGATGAGGAGGCAATGAAAGGAGACTCCACCGCAGGCTTCTCCATGGAATTCTGCAGGTGGGCACTGTAGGGATACTCGGAGGAACGCTCTGCGGGGGTGGGCTCCGGGGGTGGGCGCTTCAAGGACTCTCTGCGACCTTCTCCCGGGATACTCAGTTACTGACTCTCCGCAGGCTTCCCAGGTGCACTCCAGAAATGCTCGGGGGGACTCTCTGCGGTCTTCGCTGGGTGTGGGCACTCCAAGTACCAGGCCAGGAGACCATGTTGGAAACTGGGTGAAGAGGTGAGGAGAATCGTTTGCTTAAATCTAACAACCCCAGACCGTGAGTGGGAACCATTAGGCAAGAAGGTGCTCCTTGTATATCTCCAGGTAGGAAATGCGAACCTGCCAGGATCCGTCAGTGAGCCAAGCAAGGGCAAGCAAGCAAGGGCAAGCACCCTAGACCCTAAACCCTAAACCTGGTCCAAGTGCATCAAAACCAGAACCTTAAACTTCCACAGCCTACTCCCTTTTGGACCTGGAGCTCGACCAGGGCATCCTCTTCGAGCCGATCCTGAAGGTCTTTTCCCTACATTTGGCCAAGTTCGGGCGGTTCAGCGATGGACGGCAAGGGGGGAAACCTCGGAAAGACGGTGGCAACGCCAGGGAACCCCACTCAGCAGTAACGGCTTGTTAGGGACTGCCCAAGGCCAGCAGCAAACAACGACAGCAAAGTCCCTTAAACCCCCCAAACTTGAGGCATCGCTGTTCTCGAAGTGGTGGATTCGGCTAGTACACGCCTTCTCTTCGAAGAGGCCGTTGATCATCCGCGGGATGACACCTGCTGGACTTGACTCTTCCCCTAAACCCTAAACCCTAAACCCTAAACCCTAAACCCTGAACCCTAAACCCTAAACTATCTTTTCATCGGACGGAGCTTTCGGGTTGAACCCGAAAACTCTCAACATCTTTCGGCCCAGCTTAAGGGAACGACCCTCAAGCCTTACACAGTCCTCCTCCTCCCTGGCTTTGGGGCCTGCGTCCTCCACATCGGCCGGGCCGCCCCCCATCATGGTGTAGCTCTTGCCACCTGTCAAATTCTGGGTTTTTTGCTTAGGGTTTTTGCTTAGGGTTTTAGGGTGTTAGGGTGTTAGGGTGTTAGGGTGTTAGGGTTTAGGGCTTAGGGCTGAGGGTTTAGGGGGGGTTCGCCTTTCTTTGGGGAATTTTGCCACCCGCCAAGCAGACCAGCCAGCCACGCAGCAGGGTAACATGATTGGAAAAAGGGTTTTAGTTTTCGGGCATTCAGCAACAGGGCTCCGTCGGGCTCTATCCCTTCCACACGTGGGCTGACACAGCCCGTTTGACGGTGCAAATGGCAACAGATGATAAAGCAAACGCGGCACTGCCCGTCTGCCCATACGCGAAGAGGGTGCAGTTGAAGCCATCCACAGCATTCCTCAGAGTACACCCAGGATACATCTCCCAAGCACCGCACATGAACATGCATGAGCACATTCTTTCGGTGTCGCGGGTGGGATCACATTCGGGAAGAGGCCGGATCCGGAAAGTCACCCCCGAAAGTGCTGGCTGACATGCACCAAGCGGCGACACCATGTTGGTGCCAATGTCCTCGAAAATCTCTTCTTGTGTACCTTGCCCCTCACCCACGGACCAAAACCTTAGGACAGGCAGAGGACAGATCGACCTGAAGTATGGGCAAGAACTGCTTGTCTACCCACATCCGGGACACGTGTAGTCGTAGGTGAAGTGCTTCGGGTTCCTACCCAGTAAACTTGGCAGCTGCAGTGCTGCAGACTGCCGTCACGACTACTTCTCCACGTTTGCATGACGGTGGTAGGGCAGGGTAGGGCAGTCCTTTCTGGACTCACTGTGACGGTCTTTCCGCTCATCGATACCTCGGTCAAACAAAACACTATAAACACAAAAAACAAAGAAACATAACCGCGAAGACTCGTCCCTGACAAGTATACTGTTGCGAGGAGTGTGTCAGCTGAAGTCCTAGGGATTCCCCCGATGTTCATCGGAGGCTCGACGATATCGCATTTGAGCTTCTTCTCCCGCTGGTTCAAGGGCCGCGCCCGAACGGCAACCTCCGACACATCGCGGCCACATGGCGATGACTACTGGCACATGTCTGTCCGCGAAGAATCCGAAACCCCAAACCCTAAACCCTAAAGCCTAAACCCCTATACCCTATACCCTGCCAAACCCTAAACCTACACCAGGAAGGCTTGTGTCAAGTCACCCCGCAGGCCCCCTGTTCAGACCCTTCCGCCGCAAAGGCCTTGATGCTCTCCTCTGTCCCCGGCATGTCTGCGGCTACCCGAGCTGCCGCGAGATCAGGACCTGAGAGCAGTGGGACAAGCTGCAAGTCCGGGCGGCCAGATCCGGGTAAAAATCTAACCACTTATGTCACATGTCGCCCCGGCATGGAAACTCATAGTCTCTGCAACTCACAGCTTATAACTCTCGCTGCAACTCAAACTGAAAGCCCTGACGGCAGGTGCCTACCACGCCCCGGCAGGCAGCGCCGACGGACAGTGCGCGACATGGTGAGGTTTGCGAGCCCCAGCTGCGGGTCGAGATCTGAACAACGCATCTTCCCAGCTATTTTGTACCGGAGCGGTCGAAGGCTTCAAGATTGCGATCTTAAACCCCAGCTGAGCCTCCTATTACTATGAACCCGACTACGCCGGCTGAACCTCAAAATCCCCCCGAGCACCCTAAACCCTAAACCAAGCCCGTCGCTGCAGCTTGGGAGGCCCTTGACTCCACCGAATAACCTTCTTCCCGAAACCCAAAGCAGAATATCATAGTACAATCATATTATACATATAGATAAAAATAAATATGCAATCTACTTTGTATATGAGTTTCTATCTAGTTATACACAAGAATGATCAGACTAACTAGGTTATAATGACAATATGCTTATCTGATCAGGATGGAAATCAACAATGATGATAGCAGCGAGAATAATCGGCAGAAAATGTACTATGTACTACTACATAATACTATTCAATACTACATGATACTATAGAATGCTATATAGTGCTATGGAAGACTATTGGACACTATAGAAGACTATAGCAGACTATAGAAGAGTATAGAAGACTATAGAAGACTATAGAAGACTTTAGAGGACTTTAGAAGACTTTAGAAGACTTTAGACGACTTTAGACGACTTTAGGCTATTCTCGACTACTCTAGCCTACTATCGACCACTATAGACTACTAAGACTACTATATAGACTACTCTGTAATACTAGGTAATACTATGTAACACTATGTAATACTACGTAATACTACGTAATACCACGTAATACTACGTAGTACTACGTAATACGACGTAATACAACGTAATACTACGTCATACTACGTAATACTACGTAATACTATGTAATACTACGTAACACTACGCAATACTAAGTCTCAAGAAAATTCACAATGTTGTGAACCATTCAAGTGTGCAGCTGAAAACTCCTAAATCAAAGCTATCCTACGTAATACTCTGGACATTACTATGCAATACTATGAAATCCTATGTAATACTATGAAATACTCTGTAATACCATGCAAAACTATGTAATACTGTGTGATCGTGTGAAATACTATGTACTACTATGCAATCATGCATAACATCTCTCTCTGGAGGCCTGGCTGAGGGCCGTCAGCAGAAATCCCAATGCGGCCGCCGCTGTGGCGGCGGCGATCTCGCTGCTCTCTGCACCTGCACCAGGCTACACACCAGTCCTAAGTGCTAGGCCCTTGGTGACACAAAGCCCTATAGATACAGATCTACACCACCAAGCAGGAGCGCGATGCACCGAACTAGGTGCCTTGCTTTGGGATCTGTTGAAGTGTCATGGGCCTAGGGTTGCACGGGGCACGTGCTTCAGAAGTTTTCTACATTATTTTTTCGCGCGCGACTTCAGGTCGGATCTTCGGATAGAAATGTTTTGGGGCCAGATGATTCAATCTTGGAAGTTAGAATTGAAGTTGGACATCTCTCCTCGTCTTCTGATGTTGCTTCGTCGTTCTTCTCCTCCTTTTGCTGTGATACTCGCCACCGCACAACCCACGCCACAGCCAATGTTGGTGACACTCCTCTGTGGTGATGCGCACAAGGGCCTCCTGTGCTTTAAAACGTTGCTGAATAAACAAGAACCTAGCAACATAGGTTTCAGCCGAGAAAAACGCAGAGCGATTGAATGAAGAGCCTGCAAACACCCCAGAAAGCAGCTGCCAGTAACACAGCGTGTTGTTTGAAAGTTAGTTTGTTCTTTTGCTTGTGGCAATACATGCTTTCTTCCGGTCAGCGTCATCATGATTACTTTTTCTGTGAATACCGTTTGCTTTCATTTTTACGCTGACTGTTCTTCTTGACAGTGTTTGCCAGACGCTGTCTTTGCTGCCTTGCCCAAAGATCAACCTGCAAGGTGTACAGCACAACTGCCCCCGTGAAACCTACAAGGCTCCACGAGCCTGCGTGGCCAGAATGACCTTAGACCAGACAGCATGTCAGCTGGGGAAGGTTGATGTAAATCAGGGCTTCTGTGAAGCATCTTGCCTCACGGAGTCGTGGCCCTTTTGTCCAACAGCAAACGTTCCGTGCCCAGGGCAACACAAGAGCAACACAAGAGCACCATCTGGGTCGCCGGCCGGCATGGGAGCGACGCAGAAGCGCCTTCAGGGCCCCAGCCCCACAAAGGAGTGCATTTTGAGCCTTCAGGGCCCAACAAGGGGGGCATCCTGAAAAGTTTCAGGGCTTTCTTCCGATCCTGACGAGCATCAACCGGGAGGGCCTCCAGCATGGACGGCAGGGCCATGTAGTGCGTGCCATGCCTGGCCGGCTGGTGCAAGAAACAAGCCCTGATCCGCGGAGATCCCAACTAACAGCGTCGAAGAGCGAAGGAGCCCAAGGTTAATGGAGGCTTCGAGAGCGAGTGGGCTCGAGCTCAGAAAGGTGAGCTGGCTTGGGTCAGTCCGTCTTTTCGCATGGCTCTTTCTCCCCCTCCCCCCCCCCGGGGCCCCCCCGCATCAAATTTCAAGGGCTTCCAGTGTACGCTACAAGACGGGCCTCAGGATGTCGACGAGCAGCACCAGAGATGTGTAACACCGGAAGCTGTGCACCTGGGCTCCAAGATGCCTTGTCCTCCAGGCCTCCACACCCAAAATCTCAAGAATCGGAGCCCCTCTGATTCTTTAACTTCGTTTGTAAATTTATGCACTTTATTTCAATCAGAGATGCACTGGCTTACTGAAGTTTGCGGTTTCGAACCAGGGCTGCCCTGGGTTTCCTGGTTCTTAGTAGGGAATGAGGGAATTAGGGCCCTATATATATATATACCCTTCAAGGCATTATATAGGACCCTAATTCCCTCATTCCCTACTAAGAACCAGCCAGTAGGTCCAGGGCAAGGTCAATGGCACGTAGCAGCCCAGCGCAGCGCCGCACGATCTGGCCCTCGGCTGAGAGCCAGCTGGAGACCGTCGACTTCGAGGTTCATGGTGCCTATAAACCAATTACAGCTGTACTTATAACTGTACTTATCACGATATTAGGGCACTTTATGGGCTTATAAGCCTCCAAGTACTGTGGAAATTTAATTTGCTTCTCAGGTCTGGTGCTTCTTGCACATCATACTGAGGTGTGGGACAATGCTCGGCAGAATACTTGGCGACGATGCCGTCATTACCTCGACGGCAAGTGACTTTTGACAATGGCTTCAGCAACAAAGGACAGACTGCCCGGGCAAGCCAGCTATGGCTGCAGATGCTGCAGCCTCGACATCTGCGCCGCATTCAGGCGTCAGCAGACTGCCATATGCCAACTAGGTCGGAAACTTGTGTCGACTCTTCCAGATGCTGCGGTCATGCCACTCAATGACATCCTTACCAAAAAGGATTGCTACTTGGCAAAGCCTCCGGGGGCAAAGAATGCACTACTGAAATTACTGAAGAGGGTGCATTAAGGCCTGAACTGTGCCTGGTATGGCAGTTAGTAGCACATCAACTTGGATGCTTCAGGAGATGCTTCGTCATTCACCTGAGAGCAATCAACAAAGAACCATCGACATTGCTGCCACTGCCCGCTGCAGGTCGAGTGCGGGTTTTGCATGCAGCACGGAAAAGCCTTGGCGGCTCGGGCCCAACCACCTTTTTCTTCTGCTCACAACGGCTCGTCGCATAGCTTCACAGACGCGAGGCCTGAGACATCAATCCACATCTCTTGCGATCCGCCATGCTCCACATCAGCATTGCACCGAACATGAGGTAGGGTTTTGATTGCCAGAATCCCCAAAGGACGGTGAATGGATCTGTAGTTGTTCTCTGCCCCCAATCCTCAGATGGGCGCTGCAGCCACTGGTGTATGAGGCCCCGGCCGAGCCCATCCAAACCTCGGGGAGTCTTCGGGGAGTCTTCGGGGAGTCTTCGGGGAGTCTTCGGGGAGTCTTCGGGGAGTCTTCGGGGAGTCTTCGGGGAGTCTTCGGGGAGTCTTCGGGGAGTCTTCTGACCAGTGTTTAGGGTTTCATCACTCACACTCGGACAGGCCAGGCGACTGTTTAGGGTTTAAGGTTTCGGGTTTAGGGTTTAGGGCTTGCTCCATCCATAAACACGGTGTGAGGCCAGTCACGCACCTCACCGACCGCTCTAGACTTTGAACTCCGTCCGCCACGCAGAGAGAGTCAAGGCCCGCTATCCTTGTGAGACCACGGCCCGGAGAAAAAGAGGGCATTGAACCACTTTGGGGACTCGACCCTGCGCGCTGGAAGACTCAGACCGCAGGGCCGGCTAGGGAATCTCTGATTGTACAGGCAGTGGCACCTTCTCTCGCTTCCAGTTCTTACTTCTCACAGGCTCTTAAGATGGCTCTTCGGCTACGGTCATGCCGCACATGGCCTACATTGTAGAGAGCAGGAACAACTCTCTGATGCGAGTAGGATGCTCCAATGGCGCATCAGCCATGTGGAGCAAAGGCAAGGTGACAACTGCCGAGAAAGGCCGAACTACGCATGCAAAGGCAAATGCTACCTGGAACCTTGACATAGCTTGAGTCTGAGACACGCAGCCCGGATCCCCGACATAGAGGGCAGCATGAAACAGAAAAAAGGCAGGATAACCCTGGACCCTAAGCCCTAAGCTGGATTTACTTCGAATGTGCGTAGGTTGCACCTTCTCCGTACCTTGTGTGTGGGCAGGGAAAAAGGGCTGCCTCCCTAAATGCCATCCTCTGGCTTCGTCTCTTTCCGGCCGCTGTTTGGCCTGACATCCTGTGACTCCCGCGACCTCAGGATCAGGGCTCATCGGTGCATTTCAGGTGAAGGGTGTGGGGCTTAGGATTTTGGGGCTGGAGTCCTAAACCCTAAACCCTAAACCCTAAACCCTAAACCCTAAACCCGAGTCCTAGCCCAGCTTAGTCTCTCTTTTTGGGGCCCGGAACCTCAAACCTTGCGATCGGGAAAGATGCACCTATGACTGGGACAGCAGGAGCCGGGCTCCAGGCGAATCGGAGCCCGAGCCTCGAAAAAGGACGCCGTGGAGGTTGCTTTGAGTTGAGCACTTGAAGGGGTTTCGGGTTTAGGGTTTAGGGTTTAGGGTTTAGGGTTTAGGGTTTAGGGTTTAGGGTTTAGGGTTTAGGGTTTAGGTTTAGGGTTTAGGGTTATACCGCACTCAGGACTCTGCCATGGTTCTTGCACAGAGCTCCCCCTATATCGATCTGCTATCGGTGCCCCTAAACCCCCACCCCCCCCCCCCCCCCCCCCCCCCCCGGCAAACGCAGATGGCCTTCGCTGAAGAGGCCATGATGGGCACCTGTTGACGTTGAGGTGAAGGAGCTGCATCCTGAGCCGTTTTGGATGCAAGTGTGTAGGGTAGGCCTCGTGGCTGAGGGCACAGAAAGGGAGATCCTGAGCGCTGCTGCATTGCGCAGCTGCCACACGCGTCCCTATCCGAAGGCAACACCTGCGAAGTCTAAAAGTGCTGAGACCTCCAACCCAGACAAGACTCATGCAGAGGCCCAAATATGCTTGAAGGGCTACGGCCTTCCTTAAATTAAGGACATCCCAAACTAATCAACCTAGCCCCCCGCAGCAGCGCAATCCCCCCGCCCCCTACGTGAACATCACTCGGAGTCTCTGGGAATCCACCTCAGGCGCAGGCGAGGGCCCACGGTGGCCGCGCACTGCAGCTCTCCAAGGCGCTCCAAGTTCTCGCAGAGCTGCTCCCGCCTGGGCTTCGGCAACCGCACCATCTTGCGCCACCAAGCAAACCAGGGGTTTGGGGTTTTTGGGCCTCTTGATGAAGCTTAGGGTTCAGGGTTCAGGGTTTTGGGTTGGGGTTTAGGGCTACAGTACTGGTAGTGGTAGCACGTGTTCTGGCAGTACTGACACGGAAAATCGTAGTATCAATAGGAATGGTCGCAGTCTGTGCTACAGGCCTGGACCGTTGTTGCGGGAGTCCTTGACATGCATAGGAAGCCCGAATTCATGCCTTGGAGCCTGGAATCTAGCATCGACGTTCACGCGCACTCTTCATCATCACTTCATTTGCGGGCATTGTGGGTGAGTCGTCGTCCATGCTCAACCACCGAGCCAGGGAACCACAAGCCGTCGCCAGGTGCAGCAATGTTGAGACTAGTATGGAGTTCGTAATGCAGTTTCTTGGCGCAATCTCCAGGCCAAACGGGATTGCTCGACTTCACATAAACACTTCAGAAGTGAGTGGGAATGAGTGACATTCGGCGTCATGGTAACCTTGCACAAACTAGCAATAGCAAGTATAGGGATCAGACAAAAACAGGAAGGACGATTTCCAGGGCCAGGCAGCATCACCTTGTACGCCGCGGCAGAGCGACTCATCTGAGACCGCAGAGAGGACTTGGCGAATGGGGATGCCAAGCCCCAGAATCCTTCAGAGGGTGGTTTAAACGATAACGATGACTGCGCCTTTGGATATTTTAAGACATCCACCTAAGGAGGCGCAAGACGGCTTGAAAGCCAGAAGCAGTGGCGCTGGGACTTGTCTTGTGTAGGGCTTTACAGGGGCACTTAGCCCATGGCTGGACGAGAGTGTGGTTAGGGACCTCCCAAGCTTCACAGAAGGCCGAGTGGGATCACAAAACCATGGCTACTCCATGGTTCTACAACCACAAGAATGAACCTGCGCCCCCCACCCTCACACCCCCCCCCCCTCTCACCCAAAACCACTACAACCAGCTTCAGCATCTACCACTTCCACTACTCTTGGGGCCTTCCAGGCCCAGCGCGCCACACTCCGAAGCTGCAATCCTCGGCTTCGGAGCCGCAAGGTTTGGGAGGGCTTTTGGCTTACTGCCTGGGGCTCGAGTGTGCACAAGGGAAGCTTCCGGCTGAACTATCAGCAAATTAAACCAGCGCCCATCAATACAAAATGCCTGCCGAGGAGCTCCTCGGCCTCCCGCTGTGCATCCTCGCAGCTGGGAGTCGAGACACGGCGGTAGGCTTTCAGAACAGGGCTTCTGCAGGCACAAAGTGGTGTGAACAAGCCTGGCAACCTTGCCATGAGAGTATATAACTAGCACACAACTGTATGCTCAGCAACGGCATGCTCTGCAGCAGCATGCTCAGCAGCAGCAGCAGCAGCAGCAGCAGCAGCAGTGCAAGGAGCCGTGCAACGTGCGCAAGGAGCAGTGCGAGGAGCAGTGCAGGAGCAATGTGCAGTAGAGTTGCAGTTCTTGGGCGTGGCCCGCGATACAGATGACATAGGGATCACTCCCTGCTGCGAGCTTCGTGACGACACCCACCCCGTCCTCAACGAGGCTTACGGCCTGCAGATGTGCCGCCTGCAGGGCAGTTGCCACAGAGGCGTTGGCGACGAGGGCCCCGCTGCCTGAAGCATCAGAGCACACACACACACGTGAAGCTGTCTCGATAGCATGCGGCTTGTCTGATCTAGATGATGATGAGCAGAAAAGTGTAGCTACGACAGCTCCGTGGCCATGTTCCACATGCGCTTCCGTGGGAAGTCCAGGCCCCCTGCCCGGTCCCCAAATCTGGTCTTGCCAGCTCGAAATGAGGTCTTGTAGCTCTCTGTGTCTTGTCTTGTCCTTGAGCGGTCAGGCTTCTTCACAGCACTAGTGCAAAAAACAAAAAAAAAACAATCTGACCCGGCATGTGCGACCCCCAAAGACAATGAAACACCCAAACTGAGGTCCCCGCGCTCTCCAGCGCAGCAGATCTGACCTTCCTCTGCTGTGCAGACAGCCTGTGCCCATGATGCAGTTGACAACCAGTCTCAGACAGGCGATAGTTGCTCAAGGCTCGTCTGCGGCAACACGCCGATCACGCAACAACCCCAAAGAAGGGCCAACGAGCTCAAAGTGGGATCACAGACAGACTCAATTTCAGGCTCCTGGCTCCCGTGACTTCACGGGAGATGACGAGGGTGTATACATCTCAAGCAAAGTCGCTTCTTGCCATGGCGTGGGCTGTCTGCGGCCGCCGCTGCTCGCTTTGAAACGAGCTCCTTCGAGGACAGCGGCTTCTAGTCGCCTAGTGAGTAGGGTTTAGGGTAGTTTTAGGGTTTTAGGGTTTAGGGAGGGTTTAGGCTTTAGGGTTTAGGGCTGTGCCGGCCCCACCTACATCGGAAAGTTCAATGGAGGTTGTGACTACAGGTAGGTGAGCCAGCTTATAGGAGCCATGAACTTTCAATAACCTTCATGCAGGAGTGCGAAGACGCGTCCTCTACTTGCCGTGAAGCCGACACCGTTCCAAGAAGAACTCGGTGTCGACAAGCTGCTACAAGGCCGTTCTCCTGGCGTTTCAATCTCACTTAGGTCCACTCCTCAAGGCTAAAAACTTCCCTGGTCCTTGGCAAGGCCTAAGCCTTCAGAACCCCTAACCTTTTCGTGCAGGTTCGTTCCTGACCAATCCTCTGCCTTGCCTCGAAACCTCGAAACCCCCACGCAACTGCGCGCACCTGCGAGGCCTCCCGCTGCGTTGACAAGGCTTTGGACACCCGGACCATGCTGCTTTGCAGCTGCGACTCTCCTTGCATTGCAGATGCATACCGCTTGAAGCAAACATCACCAACATAACCGTACACAACTCAGCAACTACCTGCCGGGTGTGGGCGCGCCCTTAAGTCCCTGCCGTGATTCGGTAGTCCAGCTCCGCATCGGCGGACTCGACCCCCTTCAACTCCTCCTGGACGGTTTAAGGGGTTTTTTTGGCACCCAAGTAGCCTCGGCACGGCGGGGTTGATTGGTAGGTCTGGTGGAAGATCAGGGTTTAGGGTCTAGGGTCTAGGGTCTCGGGTTTAGGGTTTAGCGTTTAGGGTTTAGGGTTTAGGGTTCAGGGTTCAGGGTTTAGGGTTTAGGCTCAGCGTATGTCACAGTGTCATCACCCTCACTCAACGCTGTACGAGCGCCTCGACGGCCAGCAGCTGTGCAAGCAGCTCCTGGCCCAGTCTGCGGATGCTTCTAGCCCCTTCCACTAACACTCCTTAATAGGGATTATAGTATTAGCATTATAGTAACCCCCTCTTGTAATCCCTATTAAGGACTGCTAGTATAAGGTGGATGCTTCTCGGGACTCTTGAAGGCCTGAAGCAAACAAAGCTGCACACTTTCAAAATCATAACCCTAAACCCTAAACCCTACACCCTACACCCTAAACCCTAAACCCTAAACCCAGGCCAAGCAGTCCTCGCGTCGCATGCGGAGACCATCCGCCCTTCGGGCCACCGAGGCCCGCTCTGCGTGAAGGGCCTTGGAGAAGCTTTGAAGCAGGCTTTCTCGTCGGGGAGTCAGGGTTTTCCAATGGCTCCACTGGCCGTAGCCCAGCCAACCCTCAAGGTGACCAGAATATTCCTTCGGTTGCGCAGCCGAACCTCATGTGCGCAAGGCCTTGTGTTTCTTCGGGATGCTAAGCTAACATGCCTTCTTTCGAAAGCTCTTAACTGTTTTTTTTAGGGGGTTCAGTATCTACATGCACATATATATATATATATATCTATCTATCTATCTATCTATGTGTATGTATATACATAGATAGCTAGGGGTGTAAAAAGGGTGTGTGTATATATATATATATCTTTATATATATATATATATATATATGAAAGAGCAGCCTTTAGGGTCTATTTAGCTCATTCCTTTTTTTAATAAGCAGAAAATAAGTTAATTTATTTAAATAAATTAAACTATTTAAATAGAGAGAGCTTAATTAAATTATTTAAATCCTACGCCCTATTTTTTTGAATAAGTAAGGCGTCGGATTTAAATAATTTAATTGGCTCTGTGCTTGTCTATACTCACCTCCCACCACAATTAAATTAATTTAAACGATTTAAACGATTTAAACGATTTCATTGGGTCCAATTAAATCGTTTAAATCCTACGGTCCAATTAAATTATTTAATTGAGGCGTCGGATTTAAACGATTTAATTGGGCCCAATTAAATTGTTTAAATCCTACGGTCGAATTAAATTATTTAATTGAGGCGTCGGATTTAAACGATTTAATTGGACCCAATTAAATCGTTTAAATCCTACGGTCTATTTAAATTATTTAATTGAGGCGTCGGATTTAAACGATTTAATTGGACCCAATTAAATCGTTTAAATCGTTTAAATCGTTTAAATCGTTTAATTTAATTGTGGGGGGACTCAGCCAAGCCATAAACCAATTAAATCATTTAAATCCTACGGTCTAATTAAATTATTTAATTGAGGCGTCGGATTTAAATAATTTAATTGGCTCTGTGCCTGTCTGTACTCACCTCCCACCACAATTAAATTAATTTAAACGATTTGAACGATTTAAACGATTTAAACGATTTAAACGATTTAATTGGGCCCAATTAAATCGTTTAAATCCTACGGTCCAATTAAATTATTTAATTGAGGCGTCGGATTTAAACGATTTAATTGGACCCAATTAAATCGTTTAAATCCTACGGTCGAATTAAATTATTTAATTGAGGCGTCGGATTTAAACGATTTAATTGGACCCGTTTAAATCGTTTAAATCGTTTAAATCGTTTAAATTAATTTAATTGTGGGGGGACTCAGCCAAGCAATAAACCAATTAAATCATTTAAATCCTACGGTCTAATTAAATTATTTAATTGAGGCGTCGGATTTAAATAATTTAATTGGCTCTGTGCCTGTCTGTATTCACCTCCCACCACAATTAAATTAATTTAAACGATTTAAACGATTTAAACGATTTAAACGATTTAAACGATTTAAACGATTTAATTGGGTCCAATTAAATCGTTTAAATCCTACGGTCCAATTAAATTATTTAATTGAGGCGTCGGATTTAAACGATTTAATTGGACCCAATTAAATCGTTTAAATCCTACGGTCGAATTAAACTATTTAATTGAGGCGTCGGATTTAAACTATTTAATTGGACCCAATTAAATCGTTTAAATCCTACGGTCTATTTAAATTATTTAATTGAGGCGTCGGATTTAAACGAATTAATTGGACCCAATTAAATCGTTTAAATCGTTTAAATCGTTTAAATCGTTTAAATTAATTTAATTGTGGGGGGACTCAGCCAAGCCATAAACCAATTAAATCATTTAAATCCTACGGTCTAATTAAATTGTTTAATTGAGGCGTCGGATTTAAATAATTTAATTGGCTCTGTGCCTGTCTGTACTCACCTCCCACCACAATTAAATTAATTTAAACGATTTAAACGGTTTAAACGATTTAAACGATTTAATTGGGCCCAATTAAATCGTTTAAATCCTACGGTCCAATTAAATTATTTAATTGAGGCGTCGGATTTAAACGATTTAATTGGACCCAATTAAATAGTTTAAATCCTACGGTCGAATTAAATTATTTAATTGAGGCGTCGGATTTAAACGATTTAATTGGAATCGTTTAAATCGTTTAAATCGTTTAAAATCAATTTAATTGTGGGGGGACTCAGCCAAGCCATAAACCAATTAAATCATTTAAATCCTACGGTCTAATAAAATTATTTAATTGAGGCGTCGGATTTAAATAATTTAAATCGAGCCGCGCATTTCTCATCGCATACGAAGAGCTGCCCGATTTGGCCAAATTTTGCCCGAAGGCTGCCCGGCAAAATTTGGCCAAATCGAGCCGCGCCTCTCTCATCGCCTACGAAGAGCAGCCCGATTTGGCCAAATTTTGCCCGAAAGCTGCTCGGCAAAATTTGGCCAAATCGAGCCGCGCATTTCTCATCGCCTACGAAGAGCAGCCCGATTTGGCCAAATTTTGCCCGAAAGCTGCTCGGCAAAATTTGGCCAAATCGAGCCGCGCATTTCTCATCGCCTACGAAGCGCAGCCCGATTTGGCCAAATTTTGCCCGAAAGCTGCCCGGCAAAATTTGGCCAAATCGAGCCGCGCCTTTCTCATCGCGTACGAAGAGCCTGATTTGGCCAAATTTTGCCCGAAAGTTGCCCGGCAAAATTTGGCCAAATCGAGCCGCACCTTTCTCATCGCCTACGAAGAGCAGCCCGATTTGGCCAAATTTTGCCCGGAGGCTGCCCGGCAAAATTTGGCCAAATCGAGCCGCGCATTTCTCATCGCGTACGACGAGCAGCCCGATTTGGCCAAATTTTGCCCGAAAGCTGCTCGGCAAAATTTGGCCAAATCCAGCCGCACGTTTCCCATTGTTGGGCCCTTTGGGGCCGTTTTTTTGGGGCCAAATTGGGCCCAAAGGGCAAATGTTGCCCAAAATTAGCCAAAGGAGAAAAAAAGAGCCCACTTCATAAACTGTATAAACCTTATAAGTAGTTTGATATAATTCTTTTACCCCACCCCCCCAGCCCTCCTCCACCTTTCGTGCCCTCTACCTCAAAAACGAAGGCTTGTACTTGCACTTGTACTTGTAATGTACTCTGATAGGCGCAGAGTGTGCCTAGGTCACTTGAGAAGTTTTGAGTGGTGCAGCAAACCCAGCTGATGCTCATGATTTCTCTGTCTCCCTATATATGGGCGATGGAACGGGTGTCCTTTTTGATCGTTTTCTGCATCTTGAATGGAGAAAAAGGACCCCCCAAGAAGGAAAAGTAACATAAGAAAAAGGGAGGGACATTGAAGAGCTCCTCTCTTTACTTAGTCATTCCCTGTCCTCTCGTCGTATCTGTTGTTTTTCTTAGTCGCTTCAAAACGCAAAATAAGGGAAAGGCGATTTCCTGAAGAGGAAGAAGGGCACCTATCTGTGAATAGCAAGATTGGCTTTTTCTAATTAGGGAGAGACAAGGGAGTTATAAAAAGCTTTGATTAAAAAAATTACATAATTTAAACAATTTAGATATTTCAAATAATGTAAATAACTTATATAGTTTAAATAGTTTAAATCCGAAAAGAGGGGGGAACCACCCTCCCCGCCCCCTAAGAATGAAATAATTTAAATAATTTCAATCCGAAACCTCCCCGTCGTACTTAAATTAATCATTATTAAATTCTTGGGAGAAAGGAAGCTCCGGGCAAAACTTGGCCAAATCGAGCCGCGCATTTCTCATCGCATACGAAGAGCTGCCCGATTTGGCCAAATTTTGCCGGAAGGCTGCCCGGCAAAATTTGGCCAAATCGAGCCGCGCCTTTCTCATCGCCTACGAAGAGCAGCCCGATTTGGCCAAATTTTGCCCGAAAGCTGCTCGGCAAAATTTGGCCAAATCGAGCCACACATTTCTCATCGCCTACGAAGAGCAGCCCGATTTGGCCAAATTTTGCCCGAAAGCTGCTCGGCAAAATTTGGCCAAATCGAGCCGCGCATTTCTCATCGCCTACGAAGCGCAGCCCGATTTGGCCAAATTTTGCCCGAAAGCTGCCCGGCAAAATTTGGCCAAATCGAGCCGCGCTTTTCTCATCGCGTACGAAGAGCCTGATTTGGCCAAATTTTGCCCGAAAGTTGCCCGTCAAAATTTGGCCAAATCGAGCCGCGCATGTCTCATCGCCTACGAAGAGCAGCCCGATTTGGCCAAATTTTGCCCGGAGGCTGCCCGGCAAAATTTGGCCAAATCGAGCCGCGCATTTCTCATCGCGCACGACGAGCAGCTCGATTTGGCCAAATTTTGCCCGCAGACTGTCCGGCAAAATTTGGCCAAATCCAGCCGCACGTTTCCCATTGTTGGGCCCTTTGGGGCCGTTTTTTTGAGGCCGAATTGGGCCCAAAGGGCAAATGTTGCCCAAAATTAGCCAAAGGAGAAAAAAAGAGCCCACTTCATAAACTGTATAAACCTTATAAGTGGTTTTATATAATTCTTTTACCCCACCCCCCCCAGCCCTCCTCCACCTTTCGTGCCCTCTACATCAAAAACGAAGGCTTGTACTTGCACTTGTACTTGTAATGTACTCTGATAGGCGCAGAGTGCGCCTATGTACTTGTAATGTACTCTGATAGGCGCAGAGTGCGCCTAGGTCACTTGAGAAGTTTTGAGTGGTGCAGCAAACCCAGCTGATGCTCATGATTTCTCTGTCTCCCTATATATGGGCGATGGAACGGGTGTCCTTTTTGATCGTTTTCTGCATCTTCAAGGGAGGAAAAAGGACCCCCCAAGAAGGAAAAGTAACATAAGAAAAAGGGAGGGACATTGAAGAGCTCCTCTCTTTACCTAGTCATTCCCTGTCCTCTCTTCTTATCTGTTGTTTTTCTTAGTCGCTTCAAAACGCAAAGTAAGGGAAAGGCGATTTCCTGAAGAGGAAGAAGGGCACCTATCTGTGAATAGCAAGA